TGGGGTAAAACATCACGCTGCTGCTTTGTACTGGGTCCCTTTCAGTCAGTCACATCATTGTTTGCTAGTGGTATTTAGCCACCTTTTTGTATATGAGGGCTGATGTTAATCAAATGTGTGTGTTGCAGTGTTTGGGAATATAATAATGTAATTTTTTGCATATTCTTGTTTTACTTTTCAGCAAGTTTTGTAATTTAAATGTCAGTGAACTACTGAAAGAGCTGTGCCACAGGAGGTCATGCAAAGATTTTAAATAAAATTTGGCCATACTACATTGTTTCGAGCTTTGCCACTTATAATCAATAAAAATGCTAATAAAATAGAGGTGTTTATCATCATTGCCTTCTGTTGTGATCATGTCAGTATCAGTAGGGGAGAGTTTAGTAATCAGAAATCATAGGAAAGTGCTAAATGTTGATAATTTATTGATTGCCTAAGTAACCGGTAGATTGTTAGTAGATATTACAGTGATACTGGTGTGGAACCATTTTACCTGTATGGAACTACATAGGTATCTTTCACAGTAAATATTCAGGATCTTTAAATAACCTTTAAAAAAAGGAGATGCTGGAGTACAGCAAAGGGTACAAAACCCCACCAGAACACTAGCATAACATCTACAGCTTACCAGTATCTAGAGCAGTGTTTTGATGTGTTGGAAAAAACAATCTGCTGACCTACTGAACTCTTAGTATTTATAAACATTGAACTGGGTGAGAATAAACCAGTGTTGCAAACTGTTGTTGTTTTCATGATATGTTTGTGGAGGTTTGCTTAATATGTGCTGAAGTTCTTTTCTATCAGAAGAGGTTGGCAGTCTGCTCCAATTAACGAATTTTCCATACTGGAAATGAGAAGTCAATTACTACAGTTATTTTTGAATAGTTAATTTACATAACCTTAATTGTATTCATTCCATTTGAAAGGCTGAAGCTGATATTTATAATGCTTTGATTAGCAGTGTGTTTATCATGTTACACTTGCTACCAATAAGGTACTTCTGCAGTCCTGAGGAGTTCTCTCCCACATAAACATTCTAGAAAGCAAATGGCTGTTTATTTCATTGGTGAGGAGAGGCATTGCATCTTTGCTACCTCCATATGCAGTACTGAGGTATCTCCTTTCCAAAAACCGGGAATTTAACTCTAGATCATATTAATTTATTACTGGTGTGTTCCGTACCGTAGAGAAATACATTTTGCTTTTTTTAAAAGATCCCAAACTAAATTAAAAATTGAATTAAAAAATCCAGACTGTCACGGTGGTGCCTGGGTATAGACGGGGGACCTGCGAGCTTTCCACTGAGCTTGCTCAAAGACTGACAGCAGTAAGAAACGTCCCTGCTTTCAGCCAGGCTTGAGGCCTTTGTGATTTAGCTCAGATGAAATCGTCTTCCAGCCATTTGCTGGGCTGTATCGCGAGTGTTTGCTTGCTGTTGCCTTGCACTGTGGTGCCTGGCCTGCCCCAGCTCCCAGCATGGAAGTGGAGTGCTGCCGTGGATACAGCAGGGAAAGAAGGTGGTGGCAGGCGTGTCTTTGTTCTGGCTCTGCTGTGGGAGTCAGGAGGAGCTGATGTGTCTCCTCCATCTGCTGAACCTTCTTGGTAGGTAAATGAAAGCGGCAGCCACCTTGAGATGCAGAACTGATATAATCATTAAGCCATTTACAATCCTTCCGTATAAGTAAGTGGGTGAAGACCTGGGGTTTTTATCCCCTGTGTTTTCTGTATGTCATTTTGCCTAAACCCAACCCATTTTCTGACCAGTTGTCAAGGCAGTTGTTTGTATTGTAACCTGTTAGCTCTCAGGAAGTGTCACACAACATTAGGGTAGGTGCTTAAGGGATCCTTGGTGGAGCAACACCACAAAAAAAGGTGTTGTTATAGTCAAAACTTTATTTTAACCTGGACCCACTGCAGGTGGGGTCCTCTTACAAAACCCTCAAACCCCTATGCAGATGGGGTCGTTCACTGATGTCCTAGGGCCGGTTCCTTGGACATCTCATCTGTAACCCGAGCTGAGGGCACTCACACCGGAGCCCCGCAGCAGGCCGGGCGGTGGCACGGACAGGGCTCGCCTGCCCTCAGGTGTCCCTGTGCTTCCTGATGTGTCCGGGACCCCGTTAAGAGGAGCAGCGGTAAGGCGGCGGGCTGGCCGCGGGCCATGGCCGCCTGCCCCAGGAGATGGCGCACGGCGGTGGGAGCGGGAGCCCCGGTCCGGGGAAAACGGTGGAATTCCTGTGGTAAAAGCTGCAGTGGTAATGCAGTTTGGCTTTCTGGGCTGGCTGGTAGGTAAGCTGCTGTATATTAAAGCTGTCAGTCTGTCCGTGACCTTATTTGTCTGTTAAAATAACTTCAGTAGGAATGGTAATACAAAATTCCCTTTGAATTTCAGGGGAATAAAGGAAACGGACAGCATTTAGAAACCTAAGTATGTGATAATACCATAATGTGTGTGAGCCTGTGAGAGTGGCAGTGCAGGGCCAGACTGCTGCTCTGGCATCTGCTAGTGACCACTGGAAAATACTTGAAGAAAGTATATAGAAATAGGGTAATTACAACATCAGTCTCCTCCTTGTTTATCATGCTGGGTTTTACTACTATGTATTTGGGGAGCTTTTGAGTCTGAAGTAATGTTTGCATGTTTCTACTTAACAGTTCCTGCTGATCTCCTCCATCAGTAGAGCCACTTCTACTCTTGACCTTTGCAACACCCTGGGTCAGTAAACGTAGAGTATTACAATGTGTATAGTATTTAATATGCTAGGATGTGAAACCGTGGGGAAGCTCAGCTTGGTCCAGGTGAGGAATTCCCTTGTTTATTGCCATCAAATCAGAACTGAGGTCCATTTACTGTATGATGGGGGGGTGGAGCTAGATGATCTTCAGGTCCTTTCAAACCCTAACTATTCTATGATTCTATGTTGCAAATGCTCAAGTGAACTTGGTATCCTGCTACTACCTAAAATGTTTCCAGTGCTGTGGTCCTACACAATCTCAAATTTTCTCTTCAGAAGCAGCCTCTTAGGAATTAAGTTTCCACAGCAAAAGTGAGTCTGAGAAAGCAGAACATTTGGTGGACAACAGTTGTGGAACTTCCCCACAATGAACTTCCATAATAACATGAACGTGATGAATGGTCATTTTACAGACAAAGGAAATACACCATAGGGTTTGCAGGTTTTTTCTTGGTACTGGAGAAAATTGCCATGATCTTTTGGTGCCACGCTCTAAGGCAGCCTTTCTTGGCTCTATGTAGTTGAGGGGCATAGTGATCACCTGGTGATGAATGAAGTGTGAACACCTGTAAGGTTTGCCTATAACACAGGAGTAAGGTACAGAGTTGTCTTTGTTACCGGAATGAATCTTCCCTATATGCTTTAAACAAATACAAATTTTATATTGTAAGAGCTGGCTCAATGGCTGTGGAAAGGAAATGCACTCCATGTGGAAACAGAGAGCAAGTTTTCTGCATAATTATTTAAGGGGTTTTGTGTGTTGCTGAAATGTGCATTGGTGAATGTGAGCTGACACATTTCTAGGAACCAAATTATAAATGAGTGGAAGACCTGAAAATGTCAGTTTCTTCCTTAGAAGCACTTCAGGATTTTTCTTTTACTTCTTTTTTTGTTTGCTTGTTTTCTCTCTCATGCATTTTCTCTCCCCATAGGCAAATGAGCTCCATTAAATGTTTGTGTTCTATTTATCATGGGATATAATTTTTGACACTTACTGGAAGTGTTGGAGGAGATTCAATGTGCTAACATTTTTAGAAAGAGAATGTGAATGCTTACCTTTAAATAACAAGTGGTAAATCAGTGCTTTAAACTTGTTTCTTTGTGTATCCTGACAGTGTATAGCCAGTTGTGTGTGTTGTGGTCTTTTTCAGGATTAGCTAGGAAAAACTTTAGTCCTAAGGAATTAAAAAAAAGTGAAATAAACACCTGAAGATATCTTGTACAACGCTTATTGGGCAAAGTATGGTACGAGAACTACGCAATGTCAGCTAGTGGGGCAGGAAAAGCGCTTGTACTGCTGCCCTTACCTCCTCTGCTCTTGGAGAGGGCTCTGGGGTGTCAAGCATCCTGTTGGTTAAGAGCAGAGTCTTCTAATTTGTTTAGATTCATTGCTAATTAATGTAGTATTGGGTTTGTGTTCCCAGAACTGCAACATAGTTAACTGTTTTCTTGAAACTGTAACACAGTTTACACTCAGCTACATGCATCTGAGAACTTGATGAAGCTGTGCACACCTTGTCTGATTACTTTGTATTTGTAGGGGTTTTTCTGGTGGTTTCTTTTTTTGGATCCTGTCAGCATCAGTTGTTGCTTAATCTTGACCTTCCTATGTGCCTGGAACAATGTATGTGGTATAAGATTGCAGGAGAAGATTATAGGTACATGGTAGGTAGAGATGTGTGTGTATGTGAACTTGCTGGATCAAGCAACTTTCATCCGTACAGCGGCATAGGTTGTGCAACTAAGGAAACTTCACGCTCTTTTCACTGTGCCAGGTGTATCTTGTCTTTATAATGTGATTATTATGTAGTTATAAATAAAACATGTATCTGCTTGCTCATGGTTGTGTTACCTTGGTCTGGTGTGTCAGGCAGTAGCACTAAATTTTTTTATTGCAACAGCACCTTCTACCCCCAAGGATTAAATGCTGTTCTGTGTTTATAAGCATGTTCAGCCCTAAATATTTTGGAGCAATGTAAAATGCTCACTAATGGTAGTGTGCTAACTCTGAAACAAAATTGTCAGCACAGGGCAGTGCTGAAGCACATATTGAAGTCATATTGAACTCGATGTATTTAAACACAAATATATGTACTTTTATGAATCTATGTTTATTACTAGCTGTTCTGAAAAAAAGACTGATATTTTTGTACTCCCAATGAAGAATAAGTTTTACTTTAAAAAAAATAATTAAAAAAGAACAATAAAAAAAATGAAGTTTGGGAATACTTTAAGTATACAAACTGTTTTCTTTTGTTTTGATAGCTGATTGCTGTTTATGATGAACAAGAAACTCACCGGAAGACTGATGGCACCAATGGCAATTTGACAGATAGAAATAGCCCTGACTCTTTCGAGACAGAGGTAGCGGCTCAGCTGGCTGCCTTTCAGCCAATTGGTGGTGAGATTGAAGTGACTCCTTCTGCCCTAAAACTGGGTATGTACATCTTGTATGTTTGTTTAGGTTTGGGAGGATTTGGTTTCATTTGTTTGGGTTTTGATTTTTAGTTTTTACTAATATATATTATTGCTTTATTTCTTTTCTGGGTATGTCTGTAGTCGATTTTATGTATTTGAAGATCTTGTTTTAATTGTTTGCAATTTGCAGTTCAGTGAAGACAAATGTAATGATAAAAGTTGGGCCTTTGAACAAGTGATGCTGAAGACTGCAATGGAGCATGGCAAATTTGCACCTGAGCCTTGTTACCCTGCTGTGTGTTGTGCCCATCAGTACAGCTGCGGTCTCTGTTTTTCTCCTTTCTTTGAGGGGATAGGTTGCTGACAGTTCTTCATTGTATTCTTACATGAAACCTATGCAAATTACAAAGTTGTTGAAAAAAAATCCACAGTTTTGGTATTTTTTTGGGTTTGGGTTTTCTTGGTTTCGGTTTGGTGGTTTTGGTGGTTTATTTTTTTTTAGGAACCTGGTTCAATGAGTAAACCTGCTGTGTGCAAATACTTTTATTGATTCTCTGAGCTAGTGCCCTGTTTTGGGGTGGGAGGTAGAAGGAAGGAGATTCTGATTTCAAACAGTTCAGCTCTTTGCCTTTGAAGAAGTTGCACAGCAGGGTCTGTCTGCCTGTTTGACTTTCAGGTGAGCAAACTGATTAGGAGAGGCTTCTGCTTAATTCCCTGTTATATCAGAGGGTACTACGTGAAGTGCTGCAACTCTGTTCCCCTGTGTTGTTTCGCTGTACCTGGAAGGCCAAGAGCTCAGAGACTGGTTTCCAATTAGAAAGAGAGAGTCTCGTACGTTGAGCACCAGGCAGTTTGAAGTATCATTGCGGGTTTAGAGCAGGCTCAGCTGTCACCTAGATAGTAGATATAGGAGCTTTCAAAAACAGATTGAAGGTGAATCCTCTACTGTCTGTCTGTAAAGCTGAAGTACACTGGCAGTATTTAGCAAATGAATAATGCTCAGGAGAGGCTTCTCTGAATTCCACAAAGCTCATTGCCCAGTTCACTCTGTATTCCTCAGTACTGTTGGCAGTCTTCTAATGGCATGCAGTGAAATTTCTGAGTGTAAGCAGGTGGAGTAAGGATAGAAATAGTACCTCTAGTTGTACTACTCTTGTGTGGCAGCCTGATTACAACTTCAGAAATTGAATATTTACTTGTATGCTTATTTTAATTACATTTTTAAAGGAAAAGTCTGATAAACAAAACCAGTGAGCTAAAATAAAACTTCTAATACAGCTCACTGGATGAAGTCTGTGCTGATTTTTGTGCTCAATGTAGGCAAATACTGGAATTCAAGCTGCATGAAAACTTTCGTGTTCAAATTTCTGTGTTAATGGATCACTTCTGTTTTCTAGAACACAGAAAAATCTTTTTCTATATTTAATGTCACAGAGGAATTTCTCATGCCTAAAAATCTTGGGGAAAGACTATTCTTGCTGTAACTTGTTTGTATTTGATCTGTAGTTTTGGTAAGCATGGTAAAATTTGGTAAAATTTGTGGCTAAAGGCACAGTGCTTGAATGGTTTGTCTCTTCATTTATTGCATATTTTTAAATAATACCATGTCAACACAGTTTAGCATGTTTCAGAAAGTAGAGATTGTTCTCCATAACATTCTGAGCTATAGTAAAAAGTCCAATCATTTTGAGTAGTTTGTCTAGCATACTATTGTATGCAAGTTGGGTGTTGGAGAGAAGAGTATTTCAGCTTCATACAATTTTATGTAAAACACTTAATGCTGGAGCTCTTGAGCTCTCTGGTAAGCTACCAGGTAGTTCAGCTTTCATAGCATTTATAGCATCTTTCTACTATAGAGTGTAAAGGACATGAAATATGACATGAGAAGAGCAGCCGATTAGGGTTCCATTTAGTTTTCAATGGAAATTAATACATATTTGAAGTTAAAATGGATGCTTGCTTCTTAAAACAAGAGAACCCAAATGTTTGTCTGTCTCAGTGGTTCTCTTTCAGATTGTTTTATGATGTAAATGAAAGATTTTCTACCTATCAGTCCTATAAACTCTGAAATATAGTGTAGAGAATTGTTTCCTCTTTTGTAGCACAGATTACAGTTCTTTAGACTTAATTTTTGTCTGTATTTTTCATGTACAAGTCCTTGGACCTTCAGTTATGTCCTTATTTCCACTACAGGCAAAATGAAGAAATAGAAGGATATTTTGGTTGCATCAATATCATTGATGCATGAACCACAGTAGTTTGGCTCCTTGTCCAGTTATTGAACTGACCCACATTTTTTAGCAGAAATAAACAAATAATTTTTAAAATCTGTTTTTCATTTGAGAGCAAGGATGTGATTAAATATAGATGTAGTGATAAGTGTTGCCTTCCATGGTAGAGCCCTGCTTCAAGAACAGTCATATGTGCTAACCTTTTGGAGTATTTTTGCAGAATGGCTTTAGGGGTGGACTGCAGGGAATCCATTATTCTACCGTTGTCAGATTGTGGAACAATTTTGCCTATTAATTTCTGTTGGATGTTCTGTATTCTGTGAAGCCAGATCCATGGTTTTAGGTAGAAACAATGTCCATTTGGTGATCTGCTGAAAGAATACTAAAGAGCTCAGTGCTTAATAAGCATGTAAAACTGAACACTACTGCTCCAGTTCCCTTTCTATTTTTTATCCATAATTCAAGTCTAGCGCAAAAGAATATCAAGTCTGGCAGGGGTTTGTTAACTTTTGTTAACTGTACAGAGTTTCTTATTTCAAAATATAAAAGAACTTTTAATATAGAAAATCCTGGTGTGCATCTTCCAGTTGACAATGAAATAAATATAGATCTGTTGTAAAAAAAAAAATAAATCCCTATTTGACAGAAAATGTGGTTGGGTAGGGAACATATTTCATGCTACAATACAAATGTTAATAAAGCAGCTGTTAATATCTGTTACAAGATTTAAAGAAACACAACTATTTAATGGGTTCAGTTATCTGTTTGAAACAGTGAAGAAATGACCTACTGATTTTGGTATTTCTGTGGGTAAGTAGAGAACATTGGTATGTTGTTGCTGAACTGGCAGCTGAGAGAGCTTGTCTGGTGAGACTGCTCCTTGTGAGCAGAACTTGCCAGAGTACACTGATGATGTGGACATTATAGCAATTATCAAAGAATGATACAGGCAACTGAATGCCTAAATAGGTGATTTATGTTTGAAAAATTGGATGGAGGTAAACTTCAACATCTCTAACCTCAAATACTGTCATAAATTCTTTATTGCCTTTTTTTTCCCTTGCTCCTTAGGTATAAAGCTGTGGATAGACAAAACCTCACAATGAATACTGAACTTGCAGTATGTTGAATACATTTTAGCTGTGTGACTTTAGCCATGGTGAATTGCATAGAATCATAGAATAGTTAGGGTTGGAAAGGACCTGAAGATCATCAAGTTCCAACCTCCTGCTATGGGCAGGGACACCTCACACTAAACCATGTCACCCAAGGCTTTGTTCAACCTGGCCTGAACACCACCAGGGATGGAGCATTCACAACTTCCCTGGGCAACCCATTCCAGTGTCTCACCACCCTTACAGTAAAGAATGTCTTTCTTATATGCAATCTAAACCTCCCCTGTTTAAGTTTTAACCCATTACCCCTTGTCCTGTCACTACAGTCCCTAATGAAGAGTCCCTGTCCAGCATCCCTATAGCCCCCCTTCAGACACTAGAAGGCTGTTATGAGGTATCCATGCAGCCTTCTTTTCTCCAGGCTGAACAGCCCCAACTTTCTCAGCCTGTCTTCCTACAGGAGGTGCTCCGGTTGCCTGATCATCTTCCTGGCCCTCCTCTGGACTTGTGCCAACAGTTCCATGTCCTTTTTATGTTGAGGACACCAGAACTGCACGCAATGCTCCAAGTGAGGTCTCTCAAGAGCAGAGCAGAGGGGCAGGATCACCTCCTTCGACCTGCTGGTCACTCTCTTTCTGGGCTGCGAGCGCACACTGAAGCTGGCTCATGTTCATTTTCTCATTGTCCAGCACCCCCAAGTCCTTCTCTACAGGGCTGCTCTCAATCTCTTCTCTGCCCAATTGTAAGGCAACAAATGCCTCAGTAAAATAATTCATTTCAAAATTCTGTGTTAGAGATGGTCTTCTGGCTGTTTGACTCCTCAGCCCTTCTGCTGCCTGGCATGAAGGCTCTTGTATAGTAAGCATCACTTTTGTACTTGTGTACCCTTAGAAGACTAAATACAGTTATTTCACTGGAGCAGGACTATGACTGACAATTAGTTGTTTTCCCAACTTTTCCACAAGATTGTGATGCTCTCTGGGAGTAGATGTCATCTCTAGTAGTGTTTCATTTCTGTATTGTTCTTTCATCTCCTTTGGTCTGAGCTTGCATAATCAGACACAATTATTTTGAATGGATAATTGAAAGTTAGGATGCAGTAATGTTTTTTTAAAAATGGTGTATCAAAGTCATTTCAGAAACACACTTCCTTTATTCTGCACAGATGGTGGGTTTTGCTTTCTACAAATGCTGCTTAGATAAATACTTTTTGCCCAGTCACTGTTGCTGATCATTGATCTTTGTAACAACAAAATGTATTATGTCGGATTTTTGGCAAATTGTGTACAAGTCTATTCATTGATATAACGACTGGTAAACTAACAAGTGTTTGGGATGATGAAACATTTGGAGATCCTTGTATGTAGGTGGTAATTACTGGGTTACCTAGCATTGGTTTTTGTTGGCATTGGGTTTGGTTGTGTGTTTTGTTCAGGTTTTTGCACATCTCTTTGGCCAGAGATCTTGGCTGTGAAATCTTTGCAGAGGAGGGGCTTACCTTTGCAGACCTTGCTGACTGATTGCTTTTATTCTCTGTTCCAAACTGCTGTTTTGTTGCTGATGTATGATTAAAAAGTCATTCTCTCATCTTAAAGATAGCTTTGCTGGCGTAGTGGATGACATTCTTGTGCAGTGTGTTAAGATCTTTAGAGAGCCCTTGATGGATAGGGTTA